ATGTTTAAGTGGATGTCATTGAAGACCTTTACAAGAGCAGTCTCAGTGCTGTGGTTTGGACGAAAGCCTGACTGGAACACATCAAAACAGTTATTTAAATGGAAATAGAAGAATTAATGTTTCAGATAAAAATAGTTTTTTATAGAGATATGGATGTTTCGAGTATTTTTGTCCCATATTCATGAAAGAAAACAAGAAGTGTGATGTTATAAACACATTGTTTTTATTGTCATGCTGCTGTTGCCCAACTCTCATAGGTTCAATCGTCTGCCTTAAAATATTTGTTTTCATAAATACAAATGAACAAGTATTCCGTCAAATTAGCTTAATTTGGATTTTGTCACAGGACATGTAATATTGTCTTAGATCACTTACATTGGGTCTGTATTAGGAAGGGATCACTTCACAGCCAGTGTAGAGGAGAGTGGTTACAGCAATCAATAATATTTTAAATACATGTCAGTTGTATTTTTAAATACTTGAAAAGTGTAAATTACTATTTAAATCAGACAGTGCTTCTAAAATGATGAGTTTTGCAAGCCAACTTTTTATTTAATTACTTTTGCACAATGTCTCATGAGATCTGGCATGACTGTGGTGAGCAATCTATAAAATGTTCAGAGGCTTTAAGGTATCGCTTTGCAAGATATTTGACTTTCAATTTGGTCTTATAGAAAGCCTCAGGGCATATCTCATGAAGGCACTCTGTTACCACAAAGTTGGGGTTTTAAACTGTTTGAAACTTCAGCATTAAAGGTCTGCCTTGCATAATTTGCTCTCGCCTTCGAATGCAATTGTGTGCCTGAGTCTAAATGAGAATATTTTTTCGAAGATTTACCCTTTAGAAAACAGTTCAGCATCAAATAGATAAACGTAAAAGAAACCTTGAGCCTTTGCAGACAGGATCATAAAGATAATAGATTTTTACGCTCAGAAAATGCAATGCTGTTTCTCACATGGATACAGCATTTTTCACCTTTAGTAAGACCCCTATACTCGTATATTTTAGATACTCTCAAAAAATGACAATTTCTTTAGTCTAGATGAAGATTATAGGATCCTGCAGCCTTAACTGGTTCCAAAAAGCTTTACAGGGGCTTTGTGTCGGGGCTGATATGGAAACAGACAGCATCATAAAAAGATAGGTAGAAAGGGATTATTGGAACAATATGCAACAACAAGTCTGTTGATTGCAGTTTAAGTAGTCTGAATTATGCTAATTAACTTGTGTAGTAAAACCATGAACACCTAATCATCTGTGGGTCTACTCTAGATAACTTTGTTGTATTGCATCTTGGAGTGGGCATGAGAAACGGAACAGATCAATTTTGACATGACATATTTAAAATGAACCATTGATCTGTTTTCGGAAATGTTGCTTTTATTTGCTATTTAGTACAAATGGAAATGATCCACTCAGCAAACTCTACACAATATCCCTTACTCATACTTTGTTCACGCTAGCATGCTGATGAGAAACGGTACACAAAACGTTTTTTCTCCTTTGATCATTAACCCCTGAGCCTCTGTGAGCAATATGTGGTTAAGCACAAAATCACTATACTATACTCTAAGTTTGTTCACAAAAAAAAGATAATTTGGCTTTAACATCAGGCACACCACGTCTGAAGACAGAAATGAACACATGAGTTTAGAAGTTGGCCATGTGATTTGAAGGAAGCACTAACTTTTTCGCAAAAATCGACCTGCACAAAAGCAAGACCCTTGTGATTTTCACACAGGAAGGAAATGCACGTCAAACCTCGTTGTTCAGTCCCCTCATCTGCGCCCAGCCTGCGCATCTTCTCACACATCATTGCCATAAATGTCTGTGGTGTACTGAAACAAGAACAGTGCGTAGAAGCTGTCAAACTGCAACTAAAGCAGCTGCAATGATGCAAGTGCACTGCTCTGTGGTCTGCAAGCTAAATGTTTTAAATTATTTTGTTGAAAAAAATCAAGATTTCTGCTAATACGTTGTAGAGTTTAACTGCATTTTTCAAAAATGCAAACCTTCTTGCTTTATTCCTCTTCTGTGCCTCAATGGAATATATGTAAATCAAGTTCATTATCAGGACTAAAGCCACATTTCAGTTGGTTTCTTAATCTAAACACGACAGACTGCTCAAAACATGAATTATTTTTCAGATTTATTGAACAAAAAATGTCATGTAATGAACTTAAATTATTTATTTGTTTATTTCCAAACAACCATTTTACCAACATTTTCACATATTTTGACATCATACATGCCAGATCCACACTTTAATAAATATTTTAAAAAGGCTACAACTTAACAAACGTGTTAGTGTTAACAGACTCTATATTTTATAAAAGGCACCTCGTGTGAATGTGTGGAAAATGCTTCAATTGATTCAACCACCAGTTTTAAATCTGTTTATAAAGACAGTGTGCAATATTTCCCTGGGTTTTAACATTGCAGACCATTTCATATTAGACTATTCAGTGCAGTTTTTATACATTCTAGCAATTAAATCAGCAATTTAAGCTATTCAGATACATTCTGATCAGTTTATATTCTGATATTGGAGTTAAATTAAGAAATATAAAACATTAAACCATCAGATCTTGTAGAGACCAAAGAAGTTGCCATAAAATGCGTGACTAAGATAAGCTGGGTGAGATACATTCACAAATACTCTGTCAAATTTTTGCAGCTTCAGGGCGGAGCCGAGGTAACTCTCTGTGGTCCAGGCGTGTCTCGGCTGAGAGCATAAACCCTCTCTGCGGGCCTCCATCAGGGTAAGAGGCGGGGTGTGTCCTGCTCTCCTCACAAACACTGAATGTATGAACGATGAGGTAGGAGAACATTGCTGAAAGATCAACTCCACCCGTGAATAAATGTGGTAGAGTCCCGTCTCATTGACTTGCAGGGAACCATCTTCAAACCTGTAGGCCACGGCTCCAGAGAGGAACGACCGCGCTGCATGAGGATCCCAGCGCAGAGTCTTAGCGACCACTAAGGTTTCAATCCGCCCTGCAAGAGAGGAGAAATCCTGTTACCTCTTTCTGTCCTATGTAATATAGAGAATCTGGAGATTGGTTTATTTTGTATTGTTATGTTACCTGTCACATGTGCTGCAGGTCTGTTGTTCTTCTCTTCAATCAACTCAGGTTTATCACCTGAAAGCAACCATCAGATTAGAGTCATATCATCTTTTTCACTTCATTGGGAAAGATTTGTGGTGAGTGGTGTTTATATTTACCAATTTGCTTCTGAGGTGAATCAATCTCAATTTTTGTCTGAGGTGTAGTAAACTCAGTCGCAGAATGAACCTAAAGTGAAACACAGGAGAAACAGAGAATTCTCAATACCACATCACAGACACTTGACTCTCAGTGCTTTTATCTCGAAGCCCTCTCAGAGCACAAGTCAAGAGAGGAAATCCGGTCTCACTGGACGAGAGACCACAGATGCAGCAATAGGTTACCTGGTTTGCGTCTTTAAAGGTCACAGCACAGTTGAAATATATTAACTCTTTAAATCATGTCAAGTAGAATAAAAGTGAATTCATTATTAAACTTTGCAGTGTTAACTTTCCAGCTCGGTGTTCCACTCTCCCACGTTACACCTTTAGACTTTTGTCTCCGTGCAAAGGTGAGATAACCTCACACCTTTTTTTTATACGCAGCTTTGCCTCCAAAAAAAAACTTCAACGCAAAGTAATGCTTTCGTTTTTGGGAACCAATGACATTGGAGTCAAAAGAGACGTCCAAAGAGTCACCACTTACCAGCTCTTGACCTTCTACACACTGCAGTCACATGTTTACAACTTCAGATATATTTATTTGCCACACACTGCTGTAGTGATCATTTGCTTTTGAATACAGTAACTCAGAGTGACGTGAAATTCGGTTACAAATCAAATTGAAACCACTCTCTCATGCCTTCTTCCTTTGACTCTAGTACATCCATCACAGCATGTTGTCCCTTACCTTTTTTAACTCTCTCAGTTCTCCCTGCATGTTGATAATCTGGTAGGCTGCAAACCCCAGGGCCGCAAACACAAGCAGGAACAGCATGAGTACGATCAGGGACAGAGCGGGGCTGGCCCCCATGCAGCCCCGACTCTTCCCACGGCTCCTCACCCTCTCCTGGGGGGGCGGGTAGGACCAGCAGGGTACAAGATTCGGAGACTGGGCAGAGTGCTGCGGCCCTCCACCTCCATCCACAAGGAACACCTGTGGGAACGGATAGCTCTGGTCAACGCTCATGGTGCAGGTCCAAACTCTGTTTGCATCTAACAGCTCTGCACAAGGAGGTGTGTTCTTTTGTCTTCTCACCTCTTGTCTTAAAAAAAGAAGCTTCAGCTGTCAAGTCATTCCCCACCCACAAGTCCCTCCCACACGCACCATGGGCGGAAGACAAGTGCTCATTACTTGTCATTAACTTACACAAGCCAATCAATTGCAATACCAGCCAATTTATCCTGTTCTGCGATTCTGCATAGTTTTTAAAACTACCTGTCACTCTAAAACAAAGTTTAAAGTTAGCTATGTGCTTACTTATCTTTGCAGTGTGCATTTAAAAAGCCGTAGCTCAGTCTGAAGGGAACGGAAGCTAGAGGTTAAGATGACCCCCACCTCACTAACCACCATCAAGTCAAGATCAGAATGAGGCCTTTTCACAAATTCCACGAAAGGAAAGAGTGATCAACCACAGACACAGTCACCTGCCCAGCAACAGGTCTTTGGCACAGGTAGTGTGCAACATACAGTGAATTTGTTTTTCCTTTTAGTTGTCACTGAAGTTCTTCACATCTGAATCATGCCCTGAATCTGAACATTTAACCCTAGTTTTTAACCATTTAATAATGCATTTTCATTCAAATGTGTGTTAGTAAACAATGATGCCACAGTTTCAGTAGAACACAGTGCATTGTCGGTGGGTAGATTTTGCTGCCACATGAAAAGAAAATGTGTCTCTGCATTGGCTCTGCTGCGTTTGAAAAGCTGGTAGCGTGAGACAGCGATACTTCAGAGGTGAGAATTAACCCCAAACAATGCCTCCGAGATGAATTTACAGGAAAGCTGAACGAGTAAGCACCCTTTCGTCCCCACTCAGTGAGGAGTTAATGCTGTTGTGGTCTTTCTGCCACTATTGGGTTTCTTTCATAAGATAAAGATCAGTTACGCTGCTCCTTCACTGTGGTTGCAACAGTTTCCAGTTGTTTCCCCAATAAATATGTATTAGCGCCATTAAGCTGGTGTTGGTGGTTTTTGATAAAGGGCATTTAATATTTTTCAGCTTCATAGATGGAACTTAAAACAAGACATGCAGCATTGCACTGGAGGGCTGCCTCACGAATGCTTACACAACAACTTTGTTCAACTGTGTTGTGTTTCACATTACTTTTGAAGCAGAGCTAGTCTTGTACATTGTGTACTTATATGTGTTTAATTCAGTAACTACATACAGAGCTCTCGGGCCTCTCTGTCCACTGATGCAAAGTTTCATTTCCTTTCTCCAGGCACCTGCACAGACAAAGGGAAACCCATCTTGCATTCTGCATTCACAGCTATAACTGAAAGGGCAACTCTACGTCAACCTTAACCATAAACTGTTCAGGCATTCTGCGCTCTACAAGCTGAAGTGTCTGTTTCCCAGAAGTGACATGCAGCCGAGTGTTTAAGTGGGAGGGTGGGGTTGTGGGGTCTAACCAGGCTGTGTTCAGTGGCTCTGCTCCAGTTATTAAAACCAGACAAGGTGACTAAAAAGATTCACTGAATCAGCAAGTATATCAATGAACGCTGCCTGGTTCTCACCGTCTCTCTGTTGCATAACGGAGAATGCTGTGGTCATGATGACTGAAATTACAAAGATTTTTGAACCTGAAATGAATGACATTACTCATGTCTTTCATGCAAAGATGAACTTTCCCTTACGCATGGCTTGTGAGGAAAATATTAAGATTTTCTGTGTACTGATTACAAATTATGACATCGTGATCCATAATCTAAAAGTGTAGCTGAAACCTGTCACAGAAACTTAAATATAGAAAATATGAGCCTATGAAAATGATGACAGGATTAAAAGGAATATGTATAGAACTTTAACATTTCTAACATAAATATCTCACCTGCATGACCCAACACTATTAAGGAAGTCTTTAAAGTAATTCAGAGCAGAAAGGGGTTCCATAAAACACTTTATTGCATTTAAAAATGTAGAGGACCATTACATTTCACGATCATCACGTGTCGCAGTCCTCATCATCAGAAGAAGAATAACAGTCTAGTCCCAGGACATGGCCTTTCCTCTCCTCCGCTGTCCCAGTATTGGATGATTTCCCGGGTATCCTTTCTGCGGCCTCACAGCCTGACTTACGCTCTTGCCCAACAACACATCCCGTCCTCGCACCACAATGGTTCTGTGTGTCTCTGCTCTGGGTTGACTGTGTTTGCATTAATGAAGCGTTAACAAGGTTGGGCAGGCCAGACTGCAGCACCAAGGCGAGGCTCTGTGTTTGAGAGGAGCCCCGCTGAACCGGCGGTCCCCTGAACGCAGCAGCCGCGATCGCCAGCTTTGTGTGGTCAAAGGAGAGGGGCCGGTCCTGGTCTGCACTCACTGCCTCTGAGGGGTCTGAGTTTGGGTGGGTGGGGAAAGGGGTTTGAAACCTGGTCTCTGATTGGCTGAGAGGTCGCTGTTTCTCAGGGGCTGAGGTTTTGAAACATCCTATCAAATTTCCAACCAACTCGCTTTCACTTCTACATGACTGACCGCTGCCTTCATGAGAGTCACAGGGCCGAGGTTTTTTATCTGTAAATAGGAGTGAAGATACACAGATTGAGGTCAACTGCTGGTGTGTTAAATAAATACTTTACCCATAATGAAATGTAGTTAGAAACAAAGGATATTGAACAACTAATAGCAAAATACAAATATACAATACTGCATGTCTGTCAGAAAACTATTTTTTTTAAAAGTGTATTCACACATCACGAGACTCTTCAACAAGTTAATCAGTTAAATCAAACTTGTGTCCCAATTTGACTTCCTGCCTACTTGTGTGCATGCATGTATGTCGGTGTATAGCTGGAAATATTTATTTTTCTGTTATATCAGATGAAAAAGTTATATTTACTTGCAAGTTTTTAATTAAATTAAAAAACACAAATTTTGTTAAATTTCTCCACTATTTAATTCTTAGAGGACTATAAAAAAGGCTTAACCGTATGGTTATTCATGTATATCATGCCGACTTGCAATGTGCTGCCTATATTTGACAATTATTTAAAAGACTCAAAACAGGATGATACTTATAATATATTTCTAGAGCCTGTTAATATGCAAACTGAACCCAAGCTTTCACTGCGTGCGAGAGATACGTCATAAGCTTTAACACACTGACCGATACATGGAGTGTCGTGCGTGTCTGCTCTCCTCTTGCAGTATGCTCTAGGAGTCCATGGCTTATGTTTGCATGCTGGGTCGAGAACTCGTAGTTTGGTGATGAAGCGTTTGTACTCTTTCTCTAAAGCCTCAATGCGCAGCTGGAACTCAGCAATCTTCCTCTCCGGGTAGTGAGACAGCTGGGATTGCTGAGAGAAAAGACGTACAGGGAAAACATTATTTCAGTGTCATTAGAAACGGTGTTGAATTAATTTTACACAGTACTTAAAATGGACTTACCTGCAAATAATATTCTATTTCATTCTTGATGCTGAGGATCCACTTTTTCACAGAGGAAGCTGAATTGAGCGTAGACTGCAAAGAAAATGGTTGGCTCAAATAAACTAGTCGAAATAAGGCAATTGAGGTGAAGCTTTATTGATTGATCATTAATAACGATTAATAACTTTTCATTACCAGCTTGGGTCTCCTCTCATGTACATCTTTGATGCGTCCCTCTGTAAATTATACAAAGAAATGAACCATTAGTTTAGCAGGAAATTAGTGTTTAAAATGAGCTACATGGTGAATACTAGGAAATAAGCACTGTAAGGAAATGTTAACTAGCTTTTCATGTTACTTCCTAAAGGCAGCACCCTAAATGATCTCCTTACTTTCATTACAACCGGATGGAGTAATCCAAGTAAAAACTGTGAGTTAGCATCACTGTAGCTAAAACTCAAAGCTAGCACTCCGTATCTTTGTTTATTGCACAAATATGAATTAAATACGGCATATGCTTTGGGCTTCTGGCTCCGTACCCTCTCTCTCTTTCTGAAGCCACAGTCTGTTCAATTTTCCTTGTTGCTTCTCTTCGTTTCTGGCCATTTTAAAACATGATCCAGAGTCTGCAAGAGTAAGGCGTCTCATACAAAACAATGTCACGTGACACAAAATCAGTCACATGACTTTCATACCGCGAGAGTAGGGCCGTTTCTCAATCGCGAGGATGCTTGCTTGGTAGCACATGTCTTCCGAGTCACTTGCTTCAGAAGCTAGGCAAGAATCCTTCCTGGCATTCGGAAAACGAAGAGTGGAACAGGCTAGCAAGTGTGCAGGTGTGCGTCATATGAGAGGCCCCGCCTTACATTTTCCGCCACAGATTTGGGGAAATTGGTCCGTGCGCAAAGCATTGTGGGGATTTTAAGGACGCGAAGTCTACCCATGTGCAGCCTCGAAATTACCCCCAAACCAAGGACGCGGCCTCGGTGGAATTCCAAGTATGCTGGAGATTGGAACAGTCCTTCAGCGGCACTCGATGACGTAGTATCCTTGAAATATTGGCTTGGAAGCCAGTTTCCTCGAGATTGAGAAACGGCCTAGGTCCCCAACGTTAATTGCATTGGTCATTACTATAAAGAGCACTAAAAACCACAGTCGGACATTTTTTCTGTTCCTGGGGTTTGTATGTAAAAAGGGATATTATTTATATACATTATCATAATGTCAGAGAATATAATACTATCCTATTTTTAACAGTAAGAAAATACATGTAAGGGCATTTTAGTTGGTCAATATGATGCCAATTTAAGATAGTTTGTATAAAACTGGGTAGATTAGCAGTACAGTATACTACATACATCATATAAGCATACTGGTACTCTATGAATGAATGTTAAATTAATGTAGGGGAGTAAAAAGTACAATTTGCCACAGATTTTTTGTGTACAGAAATAAAAAGTAGCATTAAATGGAAATGCTCAAGTTAAGAATGGTTATGTCAAAATGGAATTTAAATACAATACTTAAGTAAAGGTACTTTGTTACACAACTGGTTGGTAGTTATACACAGTCAATGTATCAGTAGGCCTCAGGAGATTAAGTTTGGTCATTGCTAACTTAACCAACTTGTTAAAAATCAACAACAATATCCCCACAGTAATGTTGCAGACTAAAAATGACTTCCGTTAAGATGGCACCTTGGCCCTTCAAAAACATATCGTTTTTAAATCTGTACCCACTTATTAAAGTATGTTTATTTGGGCCATGATGTGTCTCAGTGTATTGTTGTGACAAAGCACTTTCTGGTGTAATGTAATTGAGTAATGAAAGAAACGGTAACATAATGGAAAAGTGAAGTGGGGGGATGGAAAATAATTACCAAGAACTGCAAGTGAGGAAACCCAAAGCTTGAAAAAAAAAAATTCACACCATGATCATTTAGGTCTCCAGTGGTTTTGGTGACAGTCAGTAACACATCGGCGGAAGGTGCATCATCAGCAGAAATTTCGAAATTTCCCACGAACCAAGGATGCGGCCTCGGTGGAATTCCAAGTATGCTGGAGATTGGAACAGTCCTTCGGCGGCACTCGATGACGTAGCATCCTTGAAATATTGGCTTGGAAGCCAGTATCNTTTGTACAGTGAGACGGCCAATATTATTTTTCCTTTAGTTGCATATTAATCTTGTGTGAATCTGTACTGTCATGATTTTCGCTTCAACTCTCTGTGCACAATTAATATGCAACTAAAGGAAAAATAATATTGGCCGTCTCACTGTACAAATAAACTTTTCTGACATAAAAAAAGACCATATACCAATATAGCCACCCATCTTTTCTAATAACAGTCACAAGCCTTCCATTCATAGGCCGTTTCTCATTTCTGGGATTTCCCCTCCTCAACTCCTACCCTCTTAGTCCCGCCCACAGGAGATGCGAGCGGAGGAGCCAAGGAGAGAGGAGGGGAAGCAGCAGGCGGTTAGAGAAATGAGAACTCCTCTCCTCTGAGCGGTCATTTTAAAGAGACGTCCATTAATGATGACAGGAGGCACAGAACAGCCCTCTGTCTGATGGACAGATGTGTTCATGACGACTTATATATTTACTTTTAATTCATTCACAGTGCGGTATAATGAGACAATAACAGGCTACAGATACACACACACACACACACACACACACACACACACACACACATATATTTATATAAATATATAATATATATATCGACCACCAATTGAATCAAACAGAGCACTTTCATAATAACGTAACACTATCAGAGACTGGATATATCCTCCCCCCCCTCTCTGCCGCTACAATGAGGAAAATAAATTACGGGCCAAAAGTTTTAAAAGTAAGCAGAGGACACCAAACCAACTGAGACCTGTCTGTCCGCTGCATCTACGCACACACTGTACCACGCACGCACACGCACACGCACCTGCACCACACACACGCACCTACAGCTCCTAAAGCATAATCAGGCTACAGCCGTTGTGTATTTTATTATGTGAAGCACTAAATGGTTTTAGAAAAATATACTGTAGACTCTTTGTTTGTAGATATCTACTAAACTAAAGCAAAAGAGAGTAGGCCTGTTATACTGAGTGATATATATTATACACACTGCTCTGCTTTCTGCACGGACCTCACAGCTGTTCTCACTGTAAACATCGTGTTGCGATGAGAGCAGTTAATAAAATAATATCCAGGNAGAGTAGTGTAGGCCTGTTGTACTGAGTGATATTATACACACTGCTCTGCTTTCTGCACAGACCTCACAGCTGTTCTCACTGTAAACATTGCGTTGCGATGAAAGCAGTTAATAAAATAATATCCAGGGGATGCATGCAGAGCTGTCATTGGCTGAGATATGTCTGGCCGTGCGTCACAACTCTTTGAAACATCTCTGCTCCCGGGAATGCGTCCACGAAGGAGCCGTGGAGGACCCATCAGTGTATCCTCAGTTAGAGCTCCTCCAGAGAGCCTCCTCGACGCTCGATCCTCGGTCCTCGAAGTGCATTTAGAGAAATGAGATGTCCTTCAACATGGCGCGCTGAAATTCATATCCGGGTCACTACCGGAGGACCGAGGAGTCGAGGAGTCGAGGAGGGGGAATTGATGAAATGAGAAAGGGCCTCGGAATGAGAGAAGTAGTCCGCTTCGTCTGTTTATGCAGACACATATGTCCATAGAACAGAATATTACACTCAAGTGGCAGGAATAAACTACAGGGAGACATTTCCCCCGACTGCAAACATGACATCAGTAAGAAGCTTGATGCAACGTGACTTACACCTACATCAGATGGATGTTAAAACTGCGTATTTACACGCTCCAATTTATTGTGAGCTGTATATGCAGCAGCTTGCAGGTTTGGAGGTCAAGTCAGACACAATGAAAAGCTAGTATGCAAGCTGAATAAATCACTGTATGGGTTAAAACAATCTGGAAGAAACTGGAAGAAAATGTTACATGATCATCTCTGTGAGAATGGTTTTGCACAAAATCCAGGTGATCACTGTGTCTACAGTAAACAAAAAGAAAATGAGAGGACCATTCTGATCATTTTGGTGGATGATCTAGTTATCGCAGCTAATGATATTCACACTATTAATACTGTGAAAGAAATGTTGAGCACAAAATTCAAAATGAAGGATCTTGGGAAACTTAAACATTTCCTTGGCATTGACTTTACTCAGACAAAAGGAGAAATAAGGATGAGTCAAAAGAAATTCATTACAAAAATACTGGAAAAGTTTGGTTTGAATGACTGTAAGCCAAGGTCCACCCAATGTCTCACAGAAACAAAACATTGATGGTGTTTGTGTATTTCTTCCTTGGTCATGAACAATATTCACGGTATTCCTACCCTAAGATGGCACTGTCAACATGTTTTGGGCTCAGGAGGGAACATGGAAGCCAGTGCAACCGTTTATGTACCGACGGAGACGAGAAAAACTATGAGTTGTGGGAGAAAACATTTTTGGGCCACCTGCGATTGCTAGGACTGAAGGCTGCCATCCTAGAGGAGCCAGGTGAGGACGAAGATGGCGACGGTGATGACCAGAAAAATGAAGAAGCCTATGCTGAATTGATACAGGTACTGGATGATAAAATCCTGTCCCTGATAATGAGAGAAGCAGCGGAAAATGGGAGAAAAGTGTTACAGATATTGAGGGACCACTACGCTGGTAAAGGAAAACCCAGTGGCGAACCGTGTCTATCACAACTGGACCTTCTGTAGACACACACACCCCACCCGCGGCATTATAATGTCCGTCTTTTCACTGAATTGTCGTCTTGAAAAGGGTATTTACGGGACATAATTCACTGAGTGTTATAGTGTGTGTTGCACCACGGACGAGTTAGTGGGAGCACGGTTGTGGTTGTTATGCTAGCTTGAGAGCAGCAGCAAGCAGTTGTATGTATCCTGTCTGTTGTACTAAATGGAAAGTAAAGTGTGGAATTCTATACTGAACACACCGCCTCTGACTCCCTTTCATCGGCTCTACACTGGTGACCTTGACATTTTCGTGATAGATTCCGAAGACTTAGTGAACATGGCTGATTGCGATGTTTACGTTAAACTGCCGGAGTTTTGGGAACATGCCGCTGCAGCGTGGTTCGCACACATGGAGGCACACTTTGCCTTGCCGTGACGGGGACCTGAAATATTTTCACGTGGTAGCAGCGCCGGGAAGCTCCACGTCGTCCAGGTTGGTTGGATTTATCGCAGACCCCCCGCGCCATGGCAAATATGAGGCGATTAAGGCCCTTCTCCTTAAGACATTTAGCTTATCTGCTAAGGAGGGGGTCCGCCAGATACTTGACATTCAAGGCCTAGGAGACAGCAAGCCATCTCAGCTAATGGAGAAAATGCTAAATCTGCTAGGGGGGGAAGATCCCCGGATTTTGTTCATGGAGACGTTCCTGCGCCACTTGCCTTCCCGGGTCCAGACGGCGCTAGCCAACATGTCCATTACGGAGCTCCGTGCCTTGGCTGAAGAGGCCGACCTTTTTTTCCTGGCTACCCAGCAGTCCGGTGCAGAGGCGCTAGCTGTGACGCTCAGCGCCCCCTCAACAGTTAAGAAGGCTTGGGGAGGCTGGACGTGACGGTACCAAGCCGGCGTTGGGACACAGGAGAGTGTCTTTACCACGCGCGGTTCAGGGCCCGGGCGAAGAAGTGTGTCGCTCCCTGCAGTTACAAACCTCCGGGAAACGGAGGAGCCGGCGCTCAGTAGTGGCCCTGGGCGTTGGCGGCATGAGTAGGCTCCTCTTCGTCAGCGACAANCCTTGATATGAAAATGCAATATCTTTATACACATTGTCTCCTCGAGGATCTATCAGCCCGCCGCCCGTCGTTGCAAGTTCCAATCGCAAAACTGCTTACTTGCGCTAATGCCTCGCTGCTTATAATGTCCTCAGCTATGTGCCAACACAGCATCGCAGAAATGCGCAAAGATTTCTCACAAGCTCAGCGTAAGACGGACCGCCGCGATCTCAAACGGCAGCCGCGACAACCCTGCGTATCCGTGCTGTGTGTGCTGCTGCCTGCTGTGCTGGTGCTGCTTTGTGTGCTGCTGCTGTGCGTGGTGTGCCGTGCCCCGTGCATGTGTGTGTCGCTCTGTCTGCTGGTTGCATGGGCGTGGTGGCTGATGAGCGCTGTAAATGCCCAGCAGCATGCCAGTTGAAACCGTGAACGCATCGCCCTATTAGGCCTAGTTGCCCAGAAGATGGCGTCTATCAACCTTCCGCGTCTTTCATTGACAGTGTGCCCGCCCGTTGTAAACTTCCGCTCCGGGCTCTAACGCCTAGAGGGCAAGCCAGCGATAGATTTAGCGAGAGAGCAATTAGCGCGCTATACGATATGTATTATAGCGCCCAACTATTTCTACACTCGATGTCTCCAAGACCTACCGAAGCCCGTTAAACATCAGTGATAGTACATTCGGCTAGGGGGGGCGGGGCGCGCTACAAGCGCCAGCGCCTCAGGCCCCGAGCGACCACAGCAAAGCAGAAAAGCTCGGCCTTCAATGATGCTAGCCTACATAATCCAGCCCTACCGCTCGACAATTATGAAGATACCGTGAACAAACAAAGCTGTAGTTACTGGCTAACTTTGACAACTTGACAGTCTTGATACAGTGTAAAGTGTTTTAATGATGTACTATTACGTGTTTTGGATAACATGAATGATGTCCAATTCCCAACAGTTTCAAACAAAGATCTACCTTCAGAGAGAGTGAGCGTCAGGGCTAGCTGTTACAGGTCCATGAGAAAGCATGAAAAGCCTCACGATCTCAGAGTAGGGAGGAAAATAAAAAATGTTAATCGGTTCAAAGCCTCAATCAGGTTCATGTTCTGGGGTTTTGATGTGGCTAGAGTAGGTAACCTGTGATTTAGGATTAAAAACATCTCAGCTAGCTGAAGTGTTGCAACAGGTTACATAGTGACAATACATTAGCTCACATCAACTGGTAGCTAGCTATGTGTGTGCAGCATGAAGGGGCTACAGATTTATTTTTCGTTTTGTAACTCTCTCGTGTAAAATGATAAATACATTAGCTAAACCCAAACTTAGCTTTCATCAAAGATTCTTAATGAGAGGTTAGCTTATCTGCTAAGGAGAGGGCCCGCCAGATACTTGACATTCAAGGCCTAGGAGATAGCAAGCCATCTCAGCTAATGGAGAAAATGCTGAATCTACTAGGGGGGGAAGAACCCCGGATTTTGTTCATGGAGACGTTCCTGCACCACTTGCCTTCCCGGGTCCAGACGGCGCTAGCCAACACGTCCATTACGGAGCCCCGTGCCTTGGCTGAAGAGGCCGACCGTTTTTTCCTGGCTACCCAGCAGTCCGGTGCAGAGGCGCTAGCTGTGACGCTCAGCGCCTCCACAACAGTTAAGAAGGCATGGGGGAGGCTGGACGTGACAGTACCAAGCCGGCGTGGGGACACAGGAGAGTGTTTTTACCACGCGCGGTTCGGGGCCAGGGCGAAGATGTGTGTCGCTCCCTGCAGTTACAAGCCTCCGGGAAACGGAGGAACCGGCGCTTAGTAGTGGCCCTGAGCATTGGCGGCACGAGCAGGCTTCTCTTCGTCAGCGACAGAGTCTCAGGAAGCTTGGTTCTTTGTGACACAGGAGCTCAACGGAGTGTTGTTCCTGCGTCGAGGGAAGACGTCGCTCGTGGGGGACATGGACCGCGTTTGACGACGGCTAATGGCGGCCCCATTGTGCGAATGTGTACGGCGTGATGCCTATGTGTTTGTGTATTGGAGGACAGCGTTTCAACTGGGATTTTGAATCGGCGGACATTTCTTTTCC